ATTTTTATTACTTAATATTAAAAGCCATTCTAAAACCAATAATATAACATCCACACATCCAGATATTGGTACCTCGGCGTTTTTCTTATCGACCTATAGTGAGCTAATTTTAAGCCTAACTGGGGTCAAGGAAAATTATTGCTAGGGAACAAATGCATTATTTACATTATTTTTTTGCGTTATTGAGTTCAATACATACTTCTGCATTATTCCCTAACTGAGTTCGTTTGAGTTCAATATGTACTTCTGCATTTATTCCCTTATTGAGTTCGTACTAAAAACATAATTGAGTTCGTAAAATTAGGGAAGAGTGATTTTTTTACTAACAAAAAATCGCGTTTTATTTGATATAAACACACAAAAGCAAATTTTGAGTAAGCAACTAAAAAAGCAGAATTGTTGTTTTTTTTTTCTTTTTCTTTTTTCTTTTTTCTTTTTTTTTTTTTTTTCTTGAGCGGCACGAAGTAGCGATTTAGTAACATATTTAGGAATTAAAAAATATTTTGTGTTAAGACATTTTTTTTGTTTGTTTTTCTCATTATTAAAATTTATTATTTTGTGTGGAAACATTTTTAGAACTTTAAATGTACAACTATCGAAGAGATAAGAACATAGGAAAGATTTCGTTAAAAAAAATATTAGTTAGTTTAGAAAAAGTAAATACAAGCGAGTACTTTTCAATCACTGATTCATTTCCCAATGTTTGAAGACGTTTGTAGATATTTTAGATAATTTGCACTGAAAATATGCAATTAAAATGTTCTCAGTCGCTTAAAGAGGTAAAAAGTATGTAACAAAAATATTTTTAAAAAGATTAACTCATCTGAACGTAATCGTCTTCCAATAATTATCGTCTTGACAAAAAAAAAATTCCTTTATTATATTTTGCTTTCAAAATTATCGCTTGACAAATATTTTTATTAAACTATTCTACAACTCTAATTTGTAGAAAATATCAGTTGCTAAACAGTTTTTTTCTTGTCAAGTGATTTTATTAATCTGATTTGTAACAAATATTGAAATGTCTAAATATTTTTTTATTGGTGGCTTATTGTAGAACAAGACACACGCTGTTAAAATAAATTACGGAATAAGAATATATTACATGCGTGAAAACTGAAACTTGATGAGAAATCATTCCTTTTTCAAAGGGCATTATTTGAGAAGCTGTTTGTAACATACATTTCAAACAAGAAAGGGTGAACTCATTTCTGGAAAGAATTATCAAAAACTGCAACTTCCCAAACTTGCTTTTACAAGATAAGCATGTTGGAAAAGAATAAAAATATTATTATTATTATTATTTACATTTTTTTTCTTTTTTTTTTGGTTTTGAGAACAGTGTATTTTTAAAGTATTGAATTTCCTTTATTTCCTGACTTTGCTGATATTATAACATTCTAATTCAAATCCAAATGTCATGTACATTGTTTATATAGAATTGTATATAAAAAATAACTGGAAAAAATGAAAAAAACATTAAATTTAGTAATTTAAAAAAATTTTCAGATTATAGTATACTAATTCTATAATTTTTTTGTTGTAAAACATAATAAACCTGTTACAAATTGCTACCTAAATTTTGTTGTTCCAATACATTGTTTAAATAAAAAAAAATTGTTATACGTGTTTCACAGCAGTCATATAAATGATTTTAGCTTATTGAAGAAAAAAAATTCCCTTAGAGCAATTTCTAGTAAACCCAAATTGTATTACTTACGAAATACTTACTAAAGTTAATTTTCATATTCATCCCGGATTCTTAATTGTGTTTGAAAAATATGCTGTGAGAAAAATTATTAGAATTTTTAAGCAATAAATTTTATTAATGCGCCGTTTTCAAGAAAATTTTCTAATTTCCAATTTTGCGATTTTACATACCATTAATATTTTAAGTCATAAATTGTTATTAAAATCCTAATTTATTAAAGAATTATTTAAAACTGATTGATTCAGAAGAAATAAACGAGCCATAAATTATTAGTAGGAAAAATATCTACTAGATGGTAGCACTAGAGAAATTTATTTTGGGAATTTTCAAACAAAGCAATTTTCTATAGTTATTCCTGTTTTTAAAATATTGCATCAGACAATTTAGTTTTATAATATTTTAAGTAGTTTTTTAAGTAATTTTTTTTTCAAATTCTAATTTATTTATTCACAAAAAATACGCTTGCATTTTAAATAGAGTAACAATACTTTTTTTTACTATTTATGATTAAGACTAATAGATTAAGACTAGTAAATTATGACTAATTTGCTTTCGTAACAGCGCAAATGCTAAAAATTCTATTTTAAAAAATGACATTTTAAGTAGGAAAAAAAACATCCGAAATTGTTTATTTTTAAAATTATTCTTGCAAATGACTTGTTTCTAAAAGGATGAGAAATATTTATAAATGTTGTCATTAATATAATTTCAAGTTAAACTCATAATTCTAAAAAAAAAAAAAACTATAATATGACAATTACGTGTCAACTCTTAGTAAATATATGTGTTATTTAAAAAATTCTGTTTTAGATTAATATGATTACATATTTCATGCTAACTGATATTGTAATTTGAATAGGCAGAAAAAGTATTGCAATCAATCTGTAAAAATGTTTAATTTTTATAATTTAATTTTAATTTAAAAAATTTAAAATAATTGAGAATTAATATAATTTAAAAAAAATTGTACTGTTATAATATTTAAAAATAACTATTGTTATGAGATTATTATTTTCCTACTGTGTACATTCAAGTACTGATCATTTCAAAATGAATATATCTAATATAAGGGCAACAATCCCTATATTTTGGTGGATTTATTTGTCAAGAAAGCAGGAATAATGAGAACATATTGTGCACAAGATTTTATTTACTAAATAGATCGTGAAGCCGAAGTCACATCCCCGCTCTCCCGGCTGGAGAGGGGGGACAAAGTTCCAGTCAGATCCGACGGAGTTTAGTTTGTAAACATTATACACCAAAAAGTCACGCAAAAACATTGCTCCTGCATTTTATAGGATGATTTTTAGTTGTAAAGAGGCCCAGTCATATGCCTTTTTCTGTATTCTTACGCCTCATCAATTTATTTATTACTCATAGCAAATCGTTTAATCTTTCCTTATATGGAAGTGAAAGATCTTAAAATAAC